CTTTTTTTTCTTTAAGGGCTTATGTAAGAAAATGAGGAAAGTCTAAGAGTTTAACATTGAGTTTAGCTTGAAAATACAAAAATAAATGAACTTTTTGTCCTTTTCTGAAAGAAAAAAATAATAACACAAATTCGTTGTTTTGGATAGAGAGGAAATTAAGGAATTGTCCCTACAGATTCCCATCTAAACACAACGGCAGGTCCCATGCATGCCATACTCCAATTAGCCCGTGGAATTTTATGTTTTTCTAGCAATCTCCTTGTTTCCATGTGGAACATTATTTCCTTTGCCTTTTTGTTTGGTAGTAGCTGTGCCATTTTTTCTTGTTTGTACTTTGTAATTAATTCAAATACTTTAGAGGGCTTGAATGTGGTCATGGTTATGGCTACACAAAAATATTGTTTAATTTGGTTATTATGAATAATTGATAATTGATATAATAGTTAATATTTATTATTTAATAGTATAAAATCAATTTATAAATTAATTTTTTTAAACATCTTAATTAATTAATAAAATTAGACAAACTAAACACATATATAGTATTATACGTGATTTTAACAATTAACTGTATGATCATAATCATGTACTTTGAATGTTGATGAGGTGTAGACTACAAACATGATTTTCTTTCCCCTTCACATGTCTTTTCCTAATCCTTTTATGGTCGGTTGTAAAGCTAATACTACTTTAAAATGTTGAAAATAAGCAAAAGTTGCAGGGCCACACAATGCGTAGTCCTATTCAGTTCAACTTCTGAAGCTGCTGTGATGGCATCTCTCTCAAAGCAAAGTACTTTTTTTTCTTTTTTATGGCCAAGTTATTCTCAAACTAATTTTTATATACATCAAAATTAATTTTTTTAAATGATTTTAAAAATATATTTTTATATTAATTTGATATATTAAAAAATTAATTTTTTTTAAATATTACAAGCTCCAAAACTTATATTCTTAATTTAATTTATAAAACAACATTTACACTTCGCTAAATCAACCCTTCATGGTTTGAGCTATGTACAATACAAGAATGACAACAGGGCTCCCCGCTCTCTGCGTGGGTCACCGCCCGTAATGATGTCTTAGGAAGGGAATTAGGCTCTACTTTCCGTGGTCCACAGTCAAGCTATTTTCTCTTTGAAATTTGAATACTCATAGTTTTCAACCAAAGCCTAAAGCAGAATCAAACCACTCATGGGTTTGAACGGTGAAAGTTAATTTTGAAGAATTGGCAGAGCTAAACCCCTGCCCCTTGCCACTGCCACTGCCACTGCCACTGCCATGGGTTTCACGAGTTGAGTCCAAGTCCAGCAAACTAGATTTCGAGAAGAATTGAAGGCCAAAAGTTTGGGATTTAGACCTTCCTAGCTCCACTTTTGGCTCACATCTATCGCTATTTGGCGAAAGGCCTTATTTACACTTTACATATTTTTTATTCCACAGCCAATACTTGAAATTAATTTTCTTCTTACTCAACATCTTTTACTATTTAAAATTCATAAAAAAACTCAAAATTTAACCATCAAACCCTCTATTTGTACCTTAAATTTATAATCAAACCTCTTATATGTATTATAACTTTTTGATAATTTAAGGATTTTTTTACTAATTTTAAATCATGAAAAGTATTAACCAGACCAAAATTAGTTGGCAAAAACCAACATTTAGCCCCTTATGTTACAAAGTTGGTAGATTTTAATTCCTTACCTTATAACATGACACTTTTAACTTTTTACCTTACAAAAGTGATAAGTTTTAATCCCTCACCTTACAAAATTGATAAGTTTTAACCCTTCCCTTTATATTATGACACTTTTAGCCATTTATCTGTATGAATTAAAGATAATAGCCCTTATTTAACATTATATTATAATGTTTTATTAGTTCTATTAGCTAACTGTCAGTTTTGTTAATTTTTTTTTTTTGACCAGCAAAAATCAATTTTATTTTGCAGAG